AGAATGTATTACCCAAATGAACATGCTCTTTACCCTACACGTCCTGGCTCCCTAGGAGCAAGTGAGTCCAAGTAAAGGAAGGAAGAAGAGGTTCCTGGACTTGGATATCATCATTTTTAGAGACACTTGACCAGAGACTGAGATTTTTTGGCCAAAACTTAGGCCAAATCCAGAAGAGAGCAAAAACAGCATTTCAAATACTGGGTAATTCTCAGAAGAAAATGACAAAGGCCCAGGTGACTTTTGGTTTATCTTATTCTTAACTTGATCCCTTGCTACATTTGTAGAGGCTTAAAGAAATCTGGTCATTTAATATTGGGGAAAAGGGGGTCTAGGGAGAAATAAGCTTAAATTATACCTTTACAATAAGGATAAACTGGAATTGGGAATACTGGGAGTGCCAAAAAGTATATACACATTTTAAGCAATGTTACCTATGTATTACTTTTTGAAGTTGAATTGAATTTCGGTAGCAATGTGTAGTATGATGTTCACTCAAAAGATGGTGTTAATCAAATGAATGGAAGTGACAGCATTTGACAGGTAAGACAGTCAAAGAAAATGGTGGAAGCATGAGTGTCATTCAAGGAGTACAAGGTTATTTTGAAATGGTATTTGAAATTAGAGAACACTGTGGAAGTACAATGACAGTAGAGGCATAAGTATGTCACAGAACTTCCAACACACTGAACAAGTGCACATTCATAGTAAGTTTCAAATGCATGGTGCTGCAATACTAGTGGACACTTTGGTCAACGTTGCTCAAGCTGTAGTTCACCGAAACCACAAGTGTCTGAACACCGATAGTAACCACTTTGAGCATCTCATTTAACTGCAAAAGTCAAATATGACTCGCATTCATCTTTTGTTATTGATTTATATTGAGTATTACAATGTAAATACAATTTTTTCCTCTCTTGTGTATACATTTTCTTGGCATCCTCTGTATGTTGTTCATGAGTTCATATCATCTGACAGGACTCCATGGGTTGTGTTAACTGTCAACTCAATCCAATATTTTTAACATCATATCCTGAGAATCATAGTGAGTTGCTTGATATGCACTGACTCTGAGGACAAAGCAGATCAGTTCCTTTCTTGGGAAATTTCTTTCTTTCTTTTCTTCTTTGGAGACAGTCTTATTCCATTGCCCTGGGTAGCATGCTGTGGCATGATAGCTCATAGCAACGGCAAAGTCTTGGGCCCAATCCATCCTCTGGTCTCAGCCTCTCGAATAGCTGGGACTACTGATGCCCACTACAATGCCTGACTAGTTTTTCTATTTTTAGTAGAGATAGTGTCTCATTTTTGCTCAGCTGGTCTGGAACTCCTGAGCGCAAGCAATCCACCTGTCTCCAGCCTCCTAGATGCTAAAGATATAGTCATGAGCCACCATGCCTAGCCAACAGCATTCTTCTAAACCATATGTAGGCAGGTGTTTTGTGGCTATTTCTTACGGGACTGAGTGTGAGAATTTAGTGGACATACTTTTTAAGTCTGGTAGGCTGTATGCCCAGCTCTATTGCAGTCTGGGTTTATCCTTGAATAAACTAAATTTCATAGAAAATGGAAGGTCTGCATATTATGGAAACTTACGATTTGTTCAATTAATGGATGATTGTATAGTTACAGAATTATTTTATTACTATCACTTTAGTTGACCCCTGAACAACACAGATTTGAACTGCATGGGTCCATGATTGCCCTGATTTTTTTCAGCCAAAGGCAAATCAAAATTACAGTATTCTTGGGATGTGAAACCCAAGTATGAGGAGGGCCAGTTTTTGTATAAAAGCAGGTTCCAGAGGGCCAACTGTGGTGGGGCATGAGTATGTGCAGATTTTTGTATAGGGAGGGGATCCTGGAAGCAGACCCCCACATATACCAAGGGATGACTATATAATATATCTATGTATAGAGCCTATATGATAAAAGTGAACAGACCACCTTCTTTTATATTCTTTCTATCTCAGTAAATAGAGAAACACTTCATATTAAACAGGGCTGAGTTTTTACAGGAATTGCTGACATTGGAGGATGTGGCTGTGGAGTTCACCTGACAGGATGGCAGTTCCTAGGCCCTGCTCAGAAGGACCTTTACTGGGACATGATGTTGGGGAACTACAGCAACCTGGTGTCAGTGGGTGAGAACAGCTGCCCTGTGTCACTCAGAGAGTGCCTTTGCTTTCTCAGTTCAGCTTTAGTATGTCTGTCATGCTCTCAGGTGGTAGATTCTCAGCCCCTTCTCTGGTCACAGAGGAGGCAATATAATCTCTCATCTTAGAAATAAGCCTTTAGGCTCGGTGCCTGTGGCTCAAGTGGCTAAGGCGCCAGCCACATACACCTAAGGTGGTGGGTTCGAATCCAGCCCAGGCCGGCCAAAACAACAATGACGGCTGCACCCAAAAAATAGCCGGGTGTTGTGGCAGGCACCTGTGGTCCCAGCTACTTGGGAGGCTGAGGCAGGAGACTCTCTTGAGCCCACTGAGTTGGAGGTTGCTGTGAGCTGTGATGACAGGGCACTCTACCCAGGGGGACAGCTTGAGGCTCCGTCTCAAAAAAAAAAAAAAGAAAGAAGCCTTTAATTTGCAGACATGCAATTCATGAGGTCCCTAAAATTTATCTTAATCCTATCATCAGAGACACACAGTGCAATTCATTGAGCCCGCCCTCTCTTATTTCCTATGAACAGGGTATCAAGCAAGCAAACCTGATGAACTGTCCAACTTGCAATGAAGAGAATCACTATGGACATTAGAAAGTGAAATCCACAGTCATATCCATCCAGGTGAGTGAGGGAACCAGCAAGAGGGGAAGGCAGTGGAAATCACATTCTGGTCATTTAGAGAAGGTACTGCAGTCAAGAGAGTATAGGGAGACAAACAGCTGCTGCAGATCCTCCTCCCCACATGAGAACTCTTTTCCTTTTCAGGAGTTTAGAGGATTACACACCCCCTTTATTCTCAGAACTAATTCCTATTCATTTCTTCTTAGATGTTGAGTGTTTTCCCTTAGGTGGTTGTTCTTATTTGGATTTTCAAGTCTTTCCATTCTTCTTCATCACTCATCAGAGGGTCATTGGGTATTTCTAAGGGTAGAACAAGAAACTTTCTCTTTCTACTCTCACAGTCACTCAGCATCACACGCTGATACCGGATGTGTTAGGGCTGTTTCCCCACACATTAAGCAAACACATGTCCAGCGGATACCAGCTGGTATCCTCTAATTTGATCCAATTCTGACACTATCCACCTGGTCATAGTGCCAGATCCCACAGGTTAAGGCCTCAGTCCAAGATTGTCCCTCTCTTCAAATGCCAGTCCCAAGTCCCAGGTCATGACCTAAACTTCTAACCAACTGGCTATAAAGTAGAGTTTCCATGGCCTTCTCCTTAAGTTCAGTTTATTTGCTAGAGCAGCTCACAAAACTCAGGGAACACTAGGTTTATTTAGTACTTGTGTTAAGAGAGTATAGTAGTAACGTGCATTTATTTGCTTCCTTAGCTTTTCTTTTACCCCTTCTGAGCTGCTCCAAAGGTTCTGTTTTCATCCTCTGTTCTATCTCATAGGTCTCTACACTGGTTTCTCATTTCATTACAATTAAAATCAAGTCTTCAAAATAGATTACAAGACCCTACATGACCTACCAATTGCCTACCCTGTCAACCTAATCTCGAGTCATTTCTCCTGTTGCCCACACCATTCTATCCACATATACTTTCTTGATGTCCCTCACATACACTCCTGCCTTGGGCTGTGAACTTCTCAGTCTCTCCACTCATCACCTGAGAAACCTTCCCAGGTCATTCATCTCTCTGTTTGTGGACTCCCTTCAAATTTGTTACTGGATTCTTTTCCCTAAAGCTTTCCTTTTCCTCAGTACAGTATAGATGTAAAATTTCTTTTATCAAAGACCCAAGTCCCTATTCTTCAAGAAGAGGAGGCATAAACATAACAAAAATAAATACATACAGCTTGGCACCCATAGCACAGTGGTTATGGCACCAGCCACAAACACCAAGTTTGGCAGGTTCAATCCTGGCCTGGGCCAGCTAACCAACAATGACAACTGCAACAAGAAAATAGCCGGGCATCGTGGTGGGTGCCTATAGTCCCAGCTACTTGGGAGGCTGAGGCAAGAGAATCACTTATGCCCAAGAGTTTGAGGTTGCTGTGAGCTGTGATGCCACAGAACTCTACTGAGGGCAACATAGTGAGACTCTGTCTTAAAAAATAAATAAATAAATAAATAAATAAAATAAAATAAAAGTTTGAGAAATAAATAAATACACAGATCCTCTGTCTAGTAAAGAAATTGCTATGACCCTCCTCCCCCGCTGCTCCAGGACATCAGCTGGGACAGTGGGTGGTAAGGCTTTGGGCTGCTCTTGGAGAAAAGAGTGTTTCTCTACACACCTGCCCACAGTTTTTGTCACCATTCCCCACCTCAAATTCATTATTGAGTCTTGTTATCTTTCTTTCCATATAAATCCTGATTTCATTTAGTTCTCATCATTGCCTTTGCTACTTCAAACCACTGTCACATTTGTAACTGTCTAGTTTTTTCCTTTTCTTGCTTGTTT